GGGGGCCTCCTGCTGCCTCCTCAGGACGTGGCACAGCTCATCCTCTGTCCCCCAGAGCCCCCAGAGCTGCTGGTCTTGGGGCAGGAGGGAGGGGGATCAGGGTACCCTCACCCCAAGGGGGGTGTTGGTGAGGCAGGTGGGGGCAGAGAGGCTGTGGAAGGGTCAAGCTGGTGGGGACCAGCTCTGCTCGCGGGGGACAAGGGACAGGAGGAGAGGGAACGGCCTCCAGCTGTGCCAGGGGAGGGGCAGGGGGGACAGCAGGAGGAATTTGTCCCTGGAAAGGGTGGTCAGGCCCTGGCAGGGGCTGCCCAGGGAGGTTTGGAGTGCCCAGCCCTGGAGGTGTCCCAGGCAGGCCTGGCCGTGGCACTCAGTGCTCTGGGCTGGGGGACAGGGTGGGCATTGGGAACAGGGTGGATTTGATGATCTGGGAGGGCTTTTCCAACCTCAGTGATCCCGGGATTCTGTGACTCGGGCTGAGAGAATTCCAGCCAAGAAAACTTTGGGCATTTTAATAAACTGAGCAGACATAGGAGGGACCTGCCATAATGGGAAAATCTCTTCTCCTTCCTGGAGAAAGCACTGACCTGGCAGCAAAAAAAGTCAGTGGCTGGAAGCTGAAATCAGAGGTGTTGAGACTGAAACCGTGGTCAGCCCTGGGATCAGCTCCTGAGGGGGTGCTCAGGGTTTCTCTCACTCCAAATGACCCCTGTGAACAGGGTGCCAGGAGCAAGCTAGCAGAGGTTTGGAGCTCAGGACAACTGCATCCCTTTGCTTGAAGTCTCAGCAGCACATACAGTATCTGCATCCTCCCCCCCTTAGCCCAGGTGGGCAGAGCTGAGCGGGAGCACTGGTTCCTACATCCCTGAGGCCGGAGTGCAGGACCCTGCCAGGGGTACCTGGGGTACCTGTGAGCTGTCAGAGATTCCTGTCACCCTCCTGAACCTCCTCCTCGTTTGCTGCCAAACCTTTGTTTCATCAGAAACGCCAACTGAGTCTCATTTGTTCGTCCTTGCAAGCAACACCCTCTTGCTGCAGAAATTGCCTGTTCAGTGGCTCTTGATGTGGAAACTCACAGGAAGTCAGTTAATTAATTAGTGCATTTTCTTTAATTAGTGTTGCAGTTTGCAGCTCTGCAAGGTGCCTCTGGCTTACACAGCCCCTGGGGCTGAGGGTGGCTGCCAGGGGGCACAAAGGTGACACGCTGGTGGCACAGTCACGTTCACAGAGTGAGGCACAGAGCTGGATAATCTGCACCTACCTGCTGTTCCCAGGGCAAGGCTGCACTCCCCTCTCTGGTTTCTGGATAGGGGCCATCTCATCCCTGAATTCACTTCATCTCCAGAAGCATTCCCAGCAGGACTGGCTGTCCCTGAGTGCAGCTCCAGTCCCTGAGCCCAGCTTGGGGACAGGCTCAGCTGGGGCTCCCACACAGGGTTTGCTGCCAGGCTGTGAAGCACAGACAGAGCTGGGGCAGCACTCTTGGTGCTGTAAAGATTACACCTTGATCCTGAGGCAGGAGCTGTGGGGCATGTGCTGTGTCCTTGGGAAAGCTGAGGAGAGGAGGGAGCTGGGGAGCATTCCTGCCAGAGAGGGATGAAGTGGAGTGGAAGGGGGCACTGCTGACCCTCCCTCTGCACTTGAGTTGCCCAGCAGATTCTTCTGGGAGCCAGAATCCCTGCTAACCCGAGCTCTTGGTCCTGCCCAGGTCATTGGGATGCACTACTTCTCCCCGGTGGACAAGATGCAGCTGCTGGAAATCATCACCACAGACAAAACCTCCCAGGACACGGCGGCCTCTGCTGTCGCCGTCGGCCTCAAACAGGGCAAAATCGTCATCGTGGTGAAGGTGAGGGGGACAGGGCACAGAACAGGAGCTGGACCAGTGAACACAGGGGCCTGTGCACTGACAGCAGGGTGGAACGTGGCTCTGGGCACGCTGGCAGCAGCTGCTCCTGCCAGGGGGTGAAAAGGGAGGTCAGGAAGGGGCGAGTGCCCGCGTGATCCTCACGTGTCCCTGGGAGCAGCCGTGCGAGGGCCACGAGGCACAGGTGCAGGGCCTGCAGGAGGAGCTGCCAGCCCGGCCCCACACGGGGACAGGGGGACACCTGACACGTCTGGATGTGTCTGAGGGGGCTGTCAGCACCTCGGCTCCCTGGCAGTCTGCCAGGACACGGGGGGGGGTGAGCAGGAACCCTCCCCTGCCCGGGCTCAGCCTTGGGTGGGAGGGGCAGGAATGCAGCTACAGAGGATGTAGGTGGGATACTGGGTAAGGAATTCTTCCCCCTGGGGGTGGGGCAGGCCCCTGGCACAGGTTGCCCAGACAAGCTGTGGCTAGATCCCTGGAAGTGTCCAAGGTTTCGAGCG